TTCCTTCCTTCCTTCCTTCCTTCCTTCCTTCCTTCCTTTCTTTCTTTCTTTCTTTCTTTCTTTCTTTCTTTCTTTCTTTCTTTCTTTCTTTCGAGTTTTCAAGACAGGGTTTCTCTGTGTGGGTTCTGACTGTCCTGGAACTCGCTTTGTAGAACAGGCTGGCCTCGAACTCACAGAGATCTGCCTGCCTCTGCCTCCCAAGTGCTGGGATTAAAGGTGTGCACCACCACCGCCGGGCGCAAAGGCCATTTTCTTTCCAACCACCACAATAGTAAAAGTTATCTGACACAATAATTTGTTTTGTTATTGTCTTTGGAGCAACACACTTAGAGCCCCAAAGCCTTATCTTTTCCCCGTAAGTTCTGCCCCTAAGAATCCAGCTGTGGGGCTACAGAGATGGCTCATTGGCTGTTCTTCCAGAAGACCCAGGATCAAATCTCAGCACTAACATGTCCTTTTGGAACTACCTGTAAATCCATTTCCAGTGCATTCATCACCCTCTTCTGGACTTTTGGATATGCAGGCAAAATACAATACCAATATACATAAAATTAAATTAAGAGATGAGTCAGCCTACTTTACTTTTTCAGACATCAGAATTACTATTTGCAGTGATGTTAGCTGTTGTTCATAACTTACATAGCCTGATTCTCAGATCATTCCTCTGGGGGTCCCTGAGACGATCACGGTCAGGAAAGTAATGATCCACTTGAGGCAAGGAGGAAGTCCTGTTCAACACGACTCAGTAGCCAACATTGGTTCATTATAGAGTCTGATACCGGGCCGTTTATTTTAGGCATATTTAAATACAGCACAATTTGGAAAAAGTTTCCTGGTATAATGCAATCCTGTGCACAAGGAGGCATAATCACATCATAAATACTCTTCTCAAGTGCATGTCACTTCTTCCATGAAAATGTGTTCATGTAGATAGGCTACACGTGTTACCTTAAGGGCCTGGGGAGGAGCTGGTGTGGTCTGTCATACAGATAGTGAGGTTGTCATTTGGGCTATTAGCCACCTCCTGTGCCGCTTGAGGGAGCTTGGTATGGCCTGGCTTTTAATATTCTGATCCCACCCCTTGGGACTGCCCAGCGTCCTGACATGGAAGCCTCTTAAGGAAAAACTCCGCCCCTTCCTCTCCCCTTCTGCTTTTCCTCCCATAAGGTGCGCACCTCTCTCTCTCTCTCTCTCTCTCTCTCTCTCTCTCTCTCTCTCTCTCCCCCCCTTCTGTCTCTCTGCCTTATTATCTCTATTATAATAAACTCTCCACGTAGATGCATCGTCTGGGTTGTGAATTACTGGCCGCCTCTGCCATGCCATGCATGGCGTGCATCTGCCCAGCATGTTTCCCTGTACATATGGGATACTCTGGGTGTGTGTGTGTGTGTGTGTGTAATAAATCATAACAATGTCTATACAGATAGCACAGATCATCAGGTGGAAAAACAGTTGATGCATCTCCCTCGTTGAAGAGACAATCCTGTTTTGAAGGTTCCTTGTTTCCCTAATGCTTATCTGTGCCAGCAAGGACCTTTGTGCTTCCAACACATTCCCACCACTGTAACCTGCCATTCAGTTAACAGCAAAATGTATTGTGCTGGCTCGTTTTATGTCAACTTGATACAAGCTAGAGTCACTGGAGAATAGGGAACCTCAGTTGAGAAGACGCCTCCATAAGATCCAGCTGTAGGGCATTTTCTTAATTAGTGATTGATAGGGGAGTGCCCAGTCTATTGTGGGTGGAGCCATCCCAGGGTTGGCAGTCCTAAGTTTAATTAAAAAGCAGGCTGATCAAGCCACAGGGAATAAGTAAGCAGCACTCCTCCAAGGCCTCTGCATCAGCTCCTGCCTCCAGGTACCAGCCCTGCCTGAGTTCCTATCCTGACCTCCTTCAGTGATAGACTACAAGTGAAAGTGTAAGCCAAATAAACCCTCTTCCCCAGCTTGCTTTTGTTCATGGTGTTTCATCATAACAACAGTAACCCTAAGACATTTACTAAATGTCTGCTGTGGAAATAAATGAAGAGCAACAACATAAGAAAACCAAACCTCATTTATTCGGAGCTTTCCATATCAGGGAGTAGGCCATCACCACTGTTTTGGATGAAATTCAAAGGCAGAGGAGCGGAAATGCCTTACAGTGTGGGTAGAGGCTTTTGGCATGTCCTCTAGATGAGCTTACTGGCAGTGGAGCATCCTACGGGGTTGGGCAGGAGTATATATTTGCCCTTCTCAGATTGATCTCAGATCATCAACAGGGCCAAACAGTAGTGAAGCTGGGCTGGTGAGATGGCTCAGTGGATCCAGTGCATGAGTGTGCACATCGCTAATCACAACACTCCCACTGGGAGATGGATGGTAAAGACAAGGGAATCTCCAGAGGCTCACAGACCATCTGACCTGGTATACGTAGCAGCAAGCAACAAAGAAAGCCTACCTCAAACAATGAGGAATAAAAGGATCAACACCTGAGGTTATACTCTGATTGCTACATGTGTGTGACCATACTTATACACTCACATTTATAAACATCACGTATACACAGGGGTGATTTAAAAAAAAAATCAGTAAAGTCATCAGTTATTAATCTGTCCTGGCCACTTGGCACTGGTTACGACAGAAATTATTAGTTCACTTCCTGGACTGTCACAGGAGACAGAAACATGGCTTACTACATGCCTACCTCATGTCAAGATAATTTTCTGGGCTGTTTATTGTAGCTAAGAGTTGGTTACCAGGGCAGGTTGTAGAAGATTTTCATCCATATTTGTATATGTTTCTTCTTCTTCTTCTCCTCCTCCCATTCCTCCTCTTCCTCCTCCTCCACCTCCTTCTTCTTTGACAGGCTCTCACTATGTAGCCTTGGCTGTCCTGGAACTCACTATGAATACCAGGCTAGCCTCAAACTCACAGAGATCAGCCTGCCTCCACCTCACTTGTTCTCAACCTTCCTCATGCTGTGACCCTTTAATATAGTTCCTCGTGTTGTGGTGACCTCTCTAACCATAAAATTATTTTTGTTGCTACTTCATAACTATAATTTTGTTATGGTTATGAATCATAATGTAAATATCATTGTTTTCCAATGACCTTAGGCAACCCTTGTGAAAGGGTCATTGGACACCCAAAGGGGACTCAACCCAAAGGTTGAGAACTGCTGCTTTACCTCCCAAATGCTAGGATCAAAGGCGTGTGCCACCATGCCTGGCCTTTTGATTGTCCTTTCAAATATTCAGTCTGTCACTACTGTACATCATTCACAATCACTTTGAGTTGAAGTCTTTACCTTAGAGCAGAAAGATAATGTCATTCTGAAGCCCCTAATCTAGCATGATTTACCATACTAAGAATGTGACAAGCTGAAAACGCTGACTCTCCTCTAGCATTGGAGTACAGATTTTTACTTTCAGTGGTTATTGATACTGAAGGGACTCTGGCTGGCTGGAGCATAGTGACCATGGATGGCTCTGGGCAGGCCTTGCCCTTCTTTCCTATTCCTTCTGCCTTGCTAAAACAAAAACAAAACAAAACAAAACAAAAAAAAGTTAGATTACATTCCTAAAACTAGCCATCCTTATTTGGCCACTTCCTCCTCCTGAGGCTGACTACCAAAGTCCAGCTATCAAAGTATTAAAGTCCAGCAAAATCAAAAGCCCCCTTAATTCACCTAATTAACACGCCCAATAAAAAATATACCACCCCATCCCTAGCCCATTCTAACACAGACCTCCTCTTTTCCTTTTCTTAAAAGATCACACCTGCAAGGTCATTTGTAGCAGTTTTCCTGAGTCAGAATGAAGTCACTTTTCTTCACTGCTTAATAAAGAATCTCTCTGTGAAAACAGGTGTTTGGGTGTGGTTTGTGCCCAATCCGGGGTGTGGAAGGGAAGCCCCCGCTGTGTGTGGGGTCTCCTTCATATCTCAAACGTTATTGAACAAACTTTTTTGGGGTGTGGGGGGGTTAGTTTATGGAGACAAGGGTCTCCCTGTGTAGCCCTGGCTGTCCTGGAACTAGCTCTGTACATCAGGCTGGCGTCGAACTTAGGAGATTCCTGCCTCCCAAGTGCTGAGATTCAAGTCATGCCCCACTGCGCCTGGCTAGAATAGAATTTTAAAGCAGAACTGTAAGACTGGCGTTCAGGTCGTTTTGTTAGTGCATTCCTATCAAGAGAGTAACCAAGCTGAGAGCCGGCTAAGAGGTTTCCAGTTCTAACAACGAATCAAAAAAACAGGGTGGCGGGGCGCCGGTGAGGAGCCCGGGCCTAAGTCATTTTCACAAGCACTCACAGGAGGCCGGTCCGCCGGACCGACTTTACAGGGGGAAACTGCCGGCAGGGCTGAACGTCAGAGGCAGCGCCGGGAGGAAGAGGCGGGACTTCCGGCGCTGCCGGATTTCCGGCGGCCGCCGCGGGAGCCCCTTGGCTCCTCTACGCCCTGTGCCGTGCAGCCTGAGGCTTGCACGCGGGTCGCCCGAGTTAGCGAGCCCCGGCGATTGGCGCCCGGCCGCGCTCCTGGTACACGCGGGCTTCTCGCCGCCGCCGGTGTTCTGGTGCCGCGTGGGCTCGGTGGCTTTCCGGGATGCAGGTTGTGGGGCGTGTGTGCTAAGAGCTGCAGTCCAGAGGAAGCCGTGACCTATCCGTCGTAAGTAATACACTGCCTGAAGCAAAGTCGTGTCCATCAAAATCGTGCCCATCGTTTGCTTTAAAATGTAAGTCGTTGGGGCTGCAGAGACCGCTCAGCGTTTCAGACGCTTCGTGTTCTTGCAGTGTGGTTTGCAGCACCCACTTCAGACAGCGCACAACTGTGGTGTCTGTAACCCTGGCCTGGTGATCGATCTCCTCATGCCTTTGGTCTCCTCGGGCATCCGCACACCCGCGTACATAATTACCCCTACATACACACGCACACACGCACGCACGCACCTTTAAAATAAAAAAAAAATCTAACTAGATTTTCATAATGAGGCCTGGGGAGGCTATGGCAGATCAGTCTGGAAATTGAGGCTATCCTGTGATAAAGAGTGGAGAACCTGCAAATTTTTTTTTGAATTTTTGATTTCTGTGATATTATAAAATCTCTCTACACTACAGAGGCAAAATTCAACTATTTGGCTTTATAATTTTTTTTTTTTTTTGAGACAGGGTCTCATGGGATTAGAGGCCAACACTACCATACCTGTCACAAGATAATGTTTTTGAAATCGTTTTGTCAAACTCAGGGCCTGAGAATCCTAAACTAAATATGTCTCAATGTCCGATATCCGTTTTTGTTTTGTTTTTAAGTCTTTAAAGTCGGAATGGCTTTTCTTTCTTTCTTTTTCTTTTTTTCTTTTCTTTTTTCTTTCTTTCTTTCTTTTTTTTTTTTTTGGTGAAGAGTCTTACTGTATTCCTGGCTGGCATGGAACTCAATATGTAGACCAGGCTGGCCACAAACTCAAAGAGATCCATCTGCCTCTGTCTCTGTCTCTGGAGTGTTGAGATTAAAGGTGTGTGCAGCCACACGTGGCTCTGAACCTTTTTTGAATGTGAGAGTGAATGTTTAACCCACTCTTGATCCTAATGGAATGTCGTCTTTAGCTTCTAGTGGGGAACACAGACAACTAGAGCAGCGTTGCAAGTGTTATCATAGGCACAGGGTGCGGTGCAAACTAATGGGACTGATTGATCTAAGTGTGAAGTGAAAAAGAGATGTGCAGCTGAAAAGGCAGGGGGTGATAGCATGAAAACCTCTTTAAGCCATATTAATGAACTGGGATCTAAGCAGAGCACAAAATGATGATTATTTTGGGGTGGGAGGAGTACATCTGGGTATCTGCACAGGCCAGAGAACATGAGAACATCTAGGAATGTGCAGGAAGGATCCTTACAGGAAGCCAACAGTTGGAGTTCTCCAGGAATTTTCTTTTTTCCTCACATTCTGCATCAGTTAACAAACTTTAAGCATCTTCATTATCTTGTGGAACATCCAGTTCTTCAAGATATAAAATTATGCAGCAATGTATATGTGTGTGTGTATACATATATACACATACAGTTTGGGACATTTTGTTTTATAATATTTGCTGTGAAGTTTGAGCTGAAACATTTATTGTTTGTTTTAATCAGCTGCTCTGTATTTCTGTTTTGGAAGCACAAAGGCATCTGTGTGGCAGCTCTTTGGTATCTTTTATTAGGTGTCATCTTAAGTAAATTTCCTGCTTTTTTGTCTTCCTCGTTGCTTTCATGAAGGATCTCAAGATTGAATATGTATCTGAAGGAGACGATAGAATCTGTTCTCAGCTCTGTAATTGACATATAACCTTCCTATCTAATTACATCAGTCCTCTGGGCCTGTTTCTATAGCAAATCTAAAAAGGATATTTGAGTCAATCTTTTGTTTAAATATGTTGAAATTAATGTATAAAATAAGAACGTGGAGCAGGATGTTGTGATTCATAGCTATAGTGCCAGTTATTTCAGAGACTGAGGCAGATCACTCAGGTTGATGAGTTTAAAATCAGCCTGGTCCACACAAAAGACCCCTGTCTCACAAAAATTAAAAACTGACCAGTAAGTGATCATAGGCTTTGGACCAGAGGAGTTAAATTAGTGGGGAGAGATTGGGAGGAGAAGGCAGAGTGGAAACTGCAGTCAGGATGTAATATATGTGGTAGTTAAATTAGTGATGTGTGACATCTAAGTTGTTCAAAGGTTTCCCTTTGTGCTTCAGAAATGAATTGCCTTCTGCAGCCAATTAAGCCGACCAGGTTCCTTTCCTCATGGGAGTCTGGTGTGCAGTGGTTGCAAATAGCATCCTCCTTGGTAGTGTATGCAGCCTGTTGAATGTGCAGGTTGCCCAAAGGGACCTTGGAGACAGTTTTCAGGTAGGTAATCACGTCTCATCTCAATGCTATTTCCAACCTAGGCTCTAGACAAGTATTTGGGGGTTTCTTTGGGAAGCCCCAGGGCACAGTAGCCAGAGTTTACATTGGTCAGGCCATCGTGTCCATTCATACCAAACTGCAGATTAAGGATGTGTGAGGCCCTTCGCTGAGCCAATTTCGGGTTTCCTGACAGCGGGAAGATCACATCTTAGAGAAGAAGCTCTTCACCAGGTTTAAATGCAGATGAATTTGAAGCCATGGTAGCTGACAAGTGGCTTGTCCCTTATGGCTGTGGGGTCAAAATATCCACAACTGTGATCCCCTGGAGAAGTGCCAGGCTCAGCTTTCCTAAGGCCTTCCATTGTCCTGAGTCCTATACCCCACCAGTCATGCTTACTAACAAATCTCATCTAGTCTGCCTGAGAGAAAAGAAATCAGAATCACAGTTAGGAAGTTTGAAAAATCTCTAACTTAATTTCATTTTTCTTTTACAGGGGTTCCTTACATTTCTTCAAAATGAATGTTACTGTCCGATTCTTGAGACCTTTTGCCAGGTTAATGGTGCCATTTACCTTTCATAGGAAGAGAAGGAATTTATATTCAACAATTCTGCAGAGATCGATGTCCTCCAAAGTACCTTCTTTGTCCTGTCATAGTAAGGACAGTACGTCCCCTCCTGAACAGCTAGAATTGGATGGGTGGAAAACCACAATGAAATCTAGCATTCAAGAAGATAGTGTTTCAGTGGTCTCAGACAAAGATCAAGATTCTCTAGCTGCCACCAGAGAATTAATTGAGATGTGGAGATTACTTGGCAAAGAAGTACCAGAACATATCACTGAAGAAGAACTCAAAACCCTTGTGGAATGTGCTTCTAAATCAGCCAAAAAAAAATACTTAAGGTTTTTGTATGGTAAGGAAAAAATGAAAAAAGCTCAGCAGATAAAGAAGGAAAGGAAGGCAGAGGCCAGGGAAGAAGCAAAGAAGGCCAGGTTGCTGGAAGCCGGCAAGAGTAAGGAGCAGCAGGACTTCATGTTTCTTCGACTCTGGGACCGCTGGATCAACATCGCACTGGGTTGGAAGGGTGTCCAGGCTATGAAGTTTGGACAGCCTTTGGTTTTTGATATGGGTTATGAAAATTACATGAAATCAAGTGAACTGCAGAATACTGTTTCTCAGCTTTTAGAAAGTGAAGGATGGAACAGAAAAAATGTTGATCCTTTCCACCTTTATTTCTGCAATCTTAAACTAGATGGTGCTTATCATCGAGAGTTAGTTAGACGTTACGGTGAAAAATGGGACAAACTGCTCTTAACAGCAACAGAAAAGTCTGCTGTTGATTTGTTTCCAAAGGACAGTATTATATATTTAACTGCAGATTCTCCCAATATTATGACTACCTTCAAGCACGATAAAATTTATATAATTGGATCATTTGTTGATAAAAATACACAGACAGGCACATCCCTTGCCAAGGCAAAACGGCTAAATCTAGCAACAGAGCGTCTTCCACTAGATAAATATTTACAATGGGAAATTGGTAACAAAAATCTCACCTTAGATCAAATGATCCGTATTTTGCTCTGCATGAAAAACACTGGTAGCTGGGAAGAGGCTTTGAAGTTTGTTCCCAGGAGAAAGCATATGGGCTATTTAGAGATCCCTCAGCATTCTCAGGAGGCTTTTAACAAACAGAAGAAGACAAAGACAAGTTTATTTCTAGAAGGTTCCTTAAATGTACGCAGACAGAAAAGGTGACCTAAATGAGAAAATGTAATAGTGTAACAAGCAAATAGGATGGAAATACATATTAAAATAAATAATGTTTTTCTTCCTAAATGGAATTGTATCTTAAAAGGAATCTTTCCAGACAAACTAGAGTTTTGTCTTTTTCTGATTATTTAAGTATCTGGAAAACTTTGAAAGTATGTTTTATTTGTAGAAACAAATGATAGATTAATTTAGAATGGAACATAAAGTTATATCGTTGTTACAGCTTTGTAGTTGATTGTTTTCTACTCTTTGACTCTTTTGGGGGGGCTGCCACCCAGCTCCCAAATAAATGCATGGGGTCTTATTTCTTATGAATGCCCGGCCTTAGCTTAGCTTATTTCCAGCCCGCTTTTCTTAAATAATCTCATCTACCTTTTGCCTCTGGGCTGTTATCTTTACCCTATATACCCACTTCTTACTCCCTGGCTTGCTGTGTAGCTGGCCCCTGGTGTCCTCTTCTCGCTCCTAGATCTTCTCCCAGATTTCTCCTCCTATTTATTCTGTCTGCCAGCCCTGCCTATCCTTTCTCCTGTCTTGCTATTGGCCGTTCATTGCTTTGTTAGACCAATCAGGTGTTTAGACAGACACAGTAACACAGCTTCACAGAGTTACACAAATGCAACATAAAAGAATGCAACAACACATCTTTGCATCATTAAATATTCCACAACATGAACAAATGTAAAACATCTTCAACTAATATTCTACAGCAAAGTATTTTTTTAATGGATTCTTTGAGTATCAAACTTTATTGTCCTTTTTAGTTTGGGGTTGGTTTTGTTCTTTTGTGGGTTTTTGTTTGGTGGGGGATATTTCAAATAGCCTGTGCCAGCCTCAAACAATGTGCTGAGAATGATCTTCAAGTTCTGATTCTCTGCTTCCACCTCCTATGATGGGATTATAGGCATGCACCACCATGCCTGGCTCTATTACACATTTCTTTATCCATGTCAGAAACTATTCTTTGATGAGAAACTAGATTAAAGCTTCTAAATTTGAAGTAGCAGTTATAAAATTAAAGCCTTGTATACAATGTTGAGCATAGTGCTTAACAGTCTTGGTTATCCAAAAACTTGTTTTCCCTGGCATGTTAGGTGATTTCCTTATGAAAATGAGTTTGGAGAAAAAGCCAATTTCTTGTCTTAGAAAAAAAAATGCATCTGGATTGAGAGATGGCTCAGAGGGCCCTTCAGAGAATTTGAGTTCAGTTCCTAGCACCACATTAGGTGGCTTACAGTCAACCACCTGCAACTCCAGTTCCAGTGGATCGGACACCCTCTAGCCTCTAAAGGCACCTGTCCCAAATGTGGTACACATAAATATACCTACATGTGAATACAAAAGCTGGAAAAAAGTATTTGGTAATGTATGCAATAGTGTGTGGATAGCATTTCTAGGAAATACTGTTTCTCTAGCTACTCACCCCCCGCCCCCCCCCCACACACACACATACCACAAGATAGGGTTTCTCTTGTGTAGCTTTGGCACCTTTCCTGGAACTCTGTAGCCCAGGCTGGCCTCGAACTCACAGAGATCCGCCTGCCTCTGCCTTTTTCTCGCTGGGACTAAAGGTGTGTACCATCACTGCCCAGTGATGCCACGTGGTTTTTAACATTTCTTAACTTATACTATTTTACTTAATGTGTATTTGTGTGAATGTATGATGTGTACATATTCATGAGGCCAGAAGGAGACAGATCCCTTGCTGAAGTTACAGGTAGTTATGAGATGCCCAGCATGGGTGTTGAGAACTGAACCTGGAGTCTGATGGCTGAGCCATGTTTCTGGCCCCAGCCACATGGTTTGGGTTTTTGGGTTTTGCTGGGCATCAAAGCCTCAGCTTCACAGCAAATTAGGGGTCAGCCAAAACAATGCAAAATACTCAAGAAAAGAGCAATCTAGAGAGGTTTTTGTTTTGTTTTTGAGACAGAGTCTCCCCATGTAGCTCTGTTTGGTTGAATTCACTGAAATCCACCTGCCTCTGCATCCCAAGTGCTGGGATTAATGGCACAAGAACTGTGAGGATCTTAAATAGTATCTTGCAAAGCTATACAGGAGAAATGCTGAAACAAACAGGAATTAAATACTGCTATATTATAGTTTCCTGGTCACTTGCTCTTAATTGTATGCTAAATAGTGAAATGAGAACTTCGACTCAGATTACCAAGTCCTCACCCAACTACCATACTACTTGTTTTAGGGTTTCTGTTGCTGCTACAAAACACCACGACCAAAAGCAAGTTGGGGAGAAAAGGGCTTATTCGACTTACACTTCAACATTGCTGTTCATCAGCAAAGGAAATCAGCAAAGGAACTCAAGAAGAGCAGGAATCTGGAGACAGGAGCTGATGCACAGGCTATGGAAGAGCGCTGCTTAACTGGCTTGCTTCACATGGCTTGCTCAGCCTGCTTGTAGACCTCAACTACCAGCCCAGGGATGGCACCATCCACAATGGGCTAGGCCCTCCCCTACTGATCACTAATTGAGGAATTAGACCCACTTTAGAGCTGGGTCTCATGGAGGCTGTTCCTCTCTAATAACTAGTTTGTGTACAATTGACACACAAAACCAGCCAGTACACTACTACTCTTAAGGTAAATGCTTTTTCCATCCTCTGTACTCGAAGTTTGAGTTATCCGTCACAAACACTGAACAGCTTCCACATAGGAAAACCCCTACACCAGGTGCTATGAAAAGTAGGTTTTAATTTTTGTGTGTGTTGATTGATGTATGCATGCGTGTGGGTGTGCATGCATGTGTAGATGAGCTGTCTTGGTTTATTTATTTTGAGACATGTCTCACTATGTAGACCAAGCTGTCTTTGCAATCAGCCTGCCTCTATCTATCTCCTTGGTGTAGGATTAAAGGTATGTGCTACCACCATGCCTGATGACACTTTTTGATACAGGGTCTCATTGAATTTAGAGTTGGCTGATTTGACTGGACTGGCTAGCCAGAAAACTCCAGGGATACTCCTGTCTCAGCCTCTCCAGAACTAGGAATAGGGGCATCCCTGCTTTTAATGTGACTACTAGGAATCCAAACTCTGGTCTTGAGACAACAGGATGATTCAATGTAGCAAGCACTTTACCAACATCCATTTCACTCTTGTTTTTTAGTTTTGGGGTAGGAGCTCATGTAGCTCAGGCTGGCTTTGAATACGGTGTAGGGTGATATCTTTATTCCACAACGACCTGTTGAAGTGGTACTAACTAGTATTGTTTATTTGGATACTGGGTCTCATGCACCTCAAGCTGATCTACCTTGAAGTGCTGGGGTTATACATCTGTACCACCACTTCGTTTATGCAGTGCAGAGATGAAACCCATAGTGGCTTTCTCCATGTTAGGAAGGCACTCTGCCAAGTGAGGTACACCCACAGCCCACTGTTATTTTACAGAGACATAAAAGCAGGCCTGTGGTCAGCAATTCTCAATGTTGCTTAGAGGACAGCTGGAGCCATACTTAGTGCATGGACTTCATTCAACAATAAATGAATCGACTCAAGGTTTCTAGGAGAGGCAGGGATTAACAGGAGTCTTCAACTTGATAGAGAAGTTGTGGCTTGCAGTGGTTATTGTTAAGTAAACAGACAAATACTAGAGCTTGCAAAAGGGCAGGGGAGACTACAAGGCATTCCTCGTTCTATTCTTTATGCCTGTACACGATAAGAGACAAGACGCTGGCACTTTTGTTTTTGTTTTGGAGACAGGGTTTCTTTGTGTAACAGTCCTGGCTTTCCTGGAAATTGCTCTGTAGACCAGGCTGGCCTTGAACTCCCTGAGACCCACCTGCCTTTGCTTCCCAAGGGCTGGAATTAAGGTCTGCGCTACCACCCCCCAGCCCAGGCACTAGCTTTTATGTTAAAATTCTCACAACAGGATACTTTAACCTTGAAAGAATAGGATGATTTAACCAGTACACAGCTATTGGACTAAAGAAAATAACTTGAAGCCGGGCAGTGGTGGTGCACGCCTTTAAATCCCAGCATTTGGGAGGCAGAAACAGGCGGATCTCTGAGTTCGAGGCCAGCCTGGTCTACAGCACAAGTTCCAGGACAGGTTCCAAAGCTACTCACCCCTACCCCGCCCCCCGAAAAAAAAAGAAAGAAAGAAAATATCTTGAAATACCAATAAGTAAATAACTTTTTAATTTTTATTTATTTTTGTTATTTAAATTTTTCGTTTTACATACCAACCACAGTTCCCCCTTGCATACCTTTTCCCGCTCCCCCACGCCAGTAAATAACTTCTAGTTCAAACCAATTCTGAACATCAGGGCATATTTTAAACTTAGTTAGAGAAGGGAATGAAGAGAAATAAAAGGCCAAGATCCTCAAACCCCCGGTAGATCAAACTTCCCCTTTCCTTAGGAAGGTCAGCTCCTGCTTTTGAAAGAGTATCGTTGTTAAAAATGTATTTTACTTTATGTGTGTGTGTGTATGCAAGTGAGTGTGGGTACTTGCGGAGTTCAAGAGGTTGTCGGATTCCCTGGAGCTGAAGTTATAAGCAGTTGTGAACCACCCAACGTGGGTACTGGGAACTGAACTGCGGTCTTCTGGAAGAGCGGCAAGCGCCCTTAACCGCCAACAATGTTTGCTTGCTTGCTACAACTCTTACACTCACGTTTTCACGAGTGCAAAAACCGAGGAAAAACTTCTACAACCATTTCCCTTATGGCTTCACTATGTGATCTTCCATAAACTGCTCTCCGGTGTCAGTACGCAAATTAAAAGGATAATTTCACAATGGACTGTCCCGGAGATGAACGCACGAACGGCGTCCACACTAGACGGTGTTCGGGAACTGCTGAATCTTCCCCGGAAGGATACAGCCCTACCCCACAGATGACCCAATAACTAAAAGGAAGGGCCAGCTACAGCCACCCCTGAGCAGGCAAAAACCTAGGATCCCACCAACCGTTCCGAGGCCAGGCAGCCCACACTAACCCAGACCCGCCCGCCATCCGACAGCCCAGCCCTCGGCCGCCATCACCGCACACCCACCTCCGGCCGCGGCAGGCCGATGACGTCACGTCCGCCCCCGGCCGGCCGTGCCGGGGCCTCTCTAGGCTGCGGCCTCGCTGGCCCGCCCGAAGCTTTATGGTTGCTGGGCGGGGCCGTGACGTCTTTGCCCGGGCTGCAGCGGGAGGCCGCGGCGGGGAAGATGGCGGACGGGAAGGCGGGAGAGGAGAAGCCCGAGAAGCCGCAGCGAGCCGGAGC